GTAGTAAGGGTCCGGATCTCCACTGGGAGCTCGTTCCAGAGGGCCAGAGCAGCAACAGAGAAGGCTCTCCCCCAGGGGGTCACCAGCCGACATTGGCTGGCAGATGGGACCCGGAGGAGGCTGAGTCTGTGTGATCGAATCGGTCTTTGGGAGGTAATTGGCAGGAGGCGGTCTCTCAGGTACCCAGGTCCAATGCCATGTAGGGCTTTATAAGTAACAACTAGCATCTTGAAGCGAGTCCGGAGACGGATGGGCAGCCAGTGCAGCTCGCAGAGGATAGGTGTAACGTGGGTGTACCTAGGTGCACCCACAATCGCTCGCGTGGCTGCATTCTGGACTAGCTGAAGTCTTCGAACACTTTTCAAGGGCAGCCCCATGTAGAGCGCATTACAGTAGTCCAGTCTTGAGGTAACGAGGGCGTGAGTGACCTTTTTTGCAGTTTCAATTCTCAACTTTGCCTCAACAACAATGTCTCTTCTCCATCTACGTACAATCAATGGTTTCTATTTAGATTTGTAACATGTAAATGTACATTGATAAATGTAACAAATACAACAATCAATGGCTTATATATACATACATAATAAATTAAACTAAATGATAATATAACAGGTATGGGCTTGGCACACTGTATGAAGCCAGCTATTTTTGCTTGTAAACCATGGTTTAATGGCTCTGAGTTACAAATGAGCCCGGACATTACAACTCATTCGATCAGGTATGGATAAAATAAAACACATGTAATTGCAATGTGTGAACACTCATTTCACGCATTCTGGTGAGTGACATTGTCTCTCAAAGTGTAGCCACATCATATTATTGGTTGAGTGACTAGGTAAGGAATGGCCTAAAAATAAAGCCAAACTGGAAAAATCCATAATAAGTAATTACAGATATGAGTAAAGCTCTTAAGATCAGACGACACTCACAAAGAGAGGGGGAAAAAGGTATTTACCTGAACTCATTGACCCAATGCTTACTCTTCAAACTGTGGGTATAAAAAGCAAAGAAAAACTCATTATATTAGGTCTAAGTCAACCAGTTCCAACATTTGATTAAAAAGCCTTTTCAATAGAAAGGGGACTAGAGAGCCATTCTTTACACCAGGTGCAGGGTAACATATAATGTAACCCTTAAAATCTTTTAATTGTTATTCTTCTGACAGAGAATAATGAGAATTGTTACTTGGAAGTTCAAGCAGAAAAAGAATACATGATTTTTTTGGCCAGCAGAGGCATCGCTGGCTACTCCTTTGATATTTCCAGGCCTGCCCCGCTGGCCAGATTTAAGCACCCGCAGGCTGGATGCAGGCCATGGGCCTTTAGTTTGACATCCCTGACCTAAAAGGATGCTACCGGAGCCTCCCTTCTGCTTTGGGGTTCAAAGATAAGAAAAACAGAATGGAATACATGTAAACAACAGCCTGATAATCATAGTAAAAGGTGCTATAAAGAAGAGTAGCAACAATAAGCAAGATAAAGCACCTTTTTCCAATGATCTGTGCATAAGTCTTCACCAAATAGTCAGAGATGTTGCGCCCCGTCAGATTCTGCAGAATATCGGTGGTCTCCTGGATTCTCTGTAGATAGTGCAGGAAGAGGAAAATAGAACACTGAATAAGCCAGGATATGATTGGTCCTGAATTACCACTATTGTCATGTATTATAGAAATCAGAAACCCAAGCCCGCTATGAATATTCTACATTTCATCGTCTACCCATTGCAGAGGTCATGAAACCTCTGAAATATATTAAAGGTTAGCTAACACTAGGTTTTAATTTCAAAGTTTCTCTTTTTCTTCTTCATTCTAATATTTCATATTCTAATGAAATAATTATAGCAGGCTAGATACCAGTAGTTATAGATGCACCTCATTTTGCCCAAGTGACATTTCTACTTCACAAGCTGCACTAGTTAAGGGTTCTGACTGTATCTCTAATGCCTTCATGACAGTAGACCTGAGTAATTATGAGCCCTCCTTTCTCCAATTGTCTCTGTCCATCTTGTATAATTATTTGGCATAATTGGCTGCCTGCACGCCCTATTGCTTTTTTAGTAGTAATTTTATTTTAAAAATACAATTACAACAATAGAAATGAATGCAAATTAAAAAAAGAAAGGTAAAAAATTGAAGATGTGGGGGAAAAAATTAGAAAAGAAAATGTATAAAGAAACACCTTCCCACTTCATCACAAGTATAAACTTAGTAATTTCTCACATCACACAAAGTAAAACAAATGATCTCGTGTTTCCCTGATTTTATCTATAAATAAAGCCTTAAAGCCCCATCATTCTGTCCCAATATGCAAAAGTCTATTAAGGGTTACTGGAGATAACAACATGTCTATTTTAAACGATCAAATAAACCAACTTTTCCTCCCTTCTCTTTATTTTTAACAAACTTGATCTTTACCTCTTCAAATAATGCCCTAGAACTTGATTTCTTTTCATTTTTTTTTTTTAGTTTCTCACAAAATTATCCAAACCTTTAACAGTCCTGGTTTTTTTGTTTTTTTGTTTTTTTTTGTAACTTCAATATAGAAAAATTATCCAGGTCACTCTCTTGGTTTGTAATTTGTATATCCCTTTTAATTACTACTTAATTTAATTCTTCTGGTTTCTTTTGTATATAAAGGGTAGCATCTTTTTCCATAAAATTCTTGTAGCCTGTTACTTTTACATCCACATTCAGATCAGTTCTCTTGTAAGGTAAAACTTGTTCCTATTCCACAACCTCTTTTAATCACAAACTATTTATAGATGCAGATATTCTTACAATTAACTTCTGGGCTCATTGTTTAAATATATCCTTCAATATTTAGACAAATCCAATGTCTTCATCTCCTAGTGCTCTAAACCTACTAGAGACCAGTGTCCTATGGTCTTCACACAAGGAACAACTGCCTGGTGCACTTGTGGATAAGCTCAAATCTTCTTCTTGTTTGGAAAGAGATTATGAAGAGGTGGTTTACTCAGCAGCTCTTCAATCATTTCTCTCTTGGAAGTCTCAAGGCCTTATTGTTGAAACAATGTCATCTTATAAGATTCAGAGACAGTTGTCTATGGTTGATTCTTCTCCTCTGGAACAATATCATCCCTGAAAACCACATGGTCCAGAGCTTGCTTGCTTAAAAGCAAGCTCCAAAGATATGACTGTTTTAGAAGACCTTCACAGGGTGACTTGTGATCCTGTTTGCTTAGATTTATATCTACATTTGGGACTGTAGTTTCCTTTTTTTAAAGTGTCACCATATAGTTGTGTGCCATCTCAAATGACCACAGCAGCTTATAAATGGATTACATCAGTGAAATAATTCACAGTTATCTACAGTCTATCCATTTACCTCCCTACCTCCTAGCAGATGTTTTAGCTGTCAGGCATTAAGATTGGAAGAAAGTATATCCCAAGTGTTAACCACATACCTGCGGAGGAGGTAGACCACCAGCCCCAGCAGGACACACTGGAAGCACTTTCTTGATATTGCTATTGCTACAGATGCACAATGGGGAAGGATTCTTCATTGTCCAATTGCCTTTCTGGAAGATTTCCTTGAGATTCTCAGGTACTGGATCTTGGCTCCACTCTTCTTTTCCCGCAGAACAAGGAAACCCTCTGTAAAAAAAACAAGACCAAAAGAAGAGACTTTCATTCAGAAATCTTATACTAGCCAAGCAGATGGCAGGACTAAGGAGCCCCGTTGCCTATCACCAGTTATATATACCCTGTTTCCCTGAAAATAAGCCCTCCCTGAAAATATTGCAACACAGCAGCAGCCATGAGGTGACCACGCTTGCTGCCTTCTGCACCTCAAAAATAATAAGATCTCCCTGAAAATAAGGCCAAGCATTTATTTCGGGGGTCAAAAGAAAATAAGACCCTGCCTTATTTACAGGAAAACATGGTACATGGATTAGGCAGGTGATTAATCCTTTATATTTACATCTATTTGCACTATAGGCATACACATGACCTGAATGTACTTTGTAGAACAACTTTCAAGTATGAAATAGTAAGAGCTCTACCTTAAAACAGATAAGTAGCGACTTGTGTGGCTGCTAAGATTTTATTGAGCTTTGCCCGAACCGTTCCAGTTATATTGTTTGGGCCTACAGCTACCCAACTTTTCCATCAGGTCAACTACTAGTCATATCAGTTAGGATTTCTGACAGCTGTAGATTCAGCATAAATTCAGTATGCATTCGAAAAATTCTTTTCAGAATTTAAGAATATAAACCAAAAGCCACATTAACAGAATTTAAGAACATAAGCCACATTCTGTAGCTGCAATCTATTTTTCCCAGAATTACTGAACACACAACACGGTCATACTAGTAATTGCCAAGAGATCCAGGATGAATTCCAAGTGTTTTCCGGCTCTTCATTTTACAAAGTGTTTTACTAATATTCCACTTACGGAATGGAGTATCCTTCCATGCAACGGGTCCCGAAACCAGGTTTGCTGAGAAGAGCGCTCAAAAGCTTTTGAGTTGTGGCGTCTTTTGGGGCATCATTGCTGTGAATGCATCAAAAGGAAACCATCAAGGCTTAAAATTAATTCAAAGGCAGAGGAAAGAGAAACACAGGAATAAGAAGAATTCAGGAAGATGAAGCTATTTGTTTCAAACAAGATTAATGTTCCTTCATGTTAATTGCATAACCTTTCCATGTTTATTTCATCTACATTCAGAATTCCCAGAAGTATATGATATGATATATTTATAACTTGATATTAAATTTGTTTTGCATTGTTTATCACATGTGACTTAATCTGTGAGTTTGATCCTGCACACTGTAACATACTAGGTTATATCAGATTTCTTGAACTATGGTTTACTATTTACCTGATAAATGTGTACTGCTCATCATACATCCAAGGGTGCAATTCTAGGCTGGGATATTTTCCAAAGGGAGGAACAATCAGACTGAACACAAGAGCAATGCAAACGAAGATGGCAGGGAGGACAATCTGAAATGATAGGAGGGAAGGGAACAGGCTCACACAATTGTTCAAGAATGACAGCTTTCCACAACATGCTAAAAACTCGGCTCCTATGATTTCTAATATTTAATCAGCAATGTCAAACTGAGCTGCAGATTCCTTTGTCATACTGCCTTTCAACAGCAAAGGAAATGAATCATCCAGGAAAAAAAGCAAATAATTGCACTTTTTTTTTGTGGGGGGAGGAATCCTTCCAAAGAACATGGCCTTCCCCCGACATTTCAAACTTCATCCTAAATTTAAACTGTTTAAAACTTTGATGTGATATAATTCAGCAGAAAAAAATAGAAAGGCATTATTCATCCTGCAAATTAGCTTTCTTGTCAATATAGAGTTTAATACCGTGTTTCTTTCAACCCCTGAAATAAGCGCTTGGCCTTATTTTTGGGGAGGTCTTATTATTTTTGAGGTGCAGGAGACAGTGAGCGTGGTCACCTCATAGCTGCTACAGTGTTGCAATATTTTCAGGGAGGGTTTGTTTTCGGGGGAGGGTTTATTTTAGTGCATGCGCTCAAAAGCCCGATTGAGCTTATTATCCGGGGAGGTCTTATTTTCAGGGAAACGGTATATATTGGTGCTAGATGGGAAATAAGAATCTGATTTTAACCCCTTAAGTGTAAACCACCAGCATTCAAGTTTCACATTGAGAAAACTCAGCTTCCAAACAGTAGTGATCAGTAGTAATTGATTTACTAAGCAGAAAAGGAACTAGTTTTTGAAATTCCTATACTGATAGTCCTTGACTTATGACCATTTATTTGAGAACCATTAAAAGTTACGATGACAGTGAAAAAAGCTTACACTTACAACTATTGCAGTGTCCTCCCACGATCACATGATCGCCATTGTTGGGGGCAATATGCTGATTCTGTAAACCGCTTAGAAAAGGCTGCAAAAGCACTATGAAGCGGTATATAAGTCTAAGTGCTATTGCTATTTGTGCCTTTCCCAACTGGCTTCTAACAAGCCAAGTCAAAGGAGAAGCCAGATTTTCTTAATGACCACATAATTCATTTAACAGCTGAAGCCATTTGCTTAACAACTGGGGTAAAAAAAAAGATAGTTAAAATTGGGCATGACTTGGCAATGGAATTTCCAGTCCTAATTCTACAATACCTGTAGAATTGAACCCCTCCGAGAGAACCCAACTCACCTGGGAAAAAATGCCCTTTCTGCTGCGCTTGGCAATAAGCAGCCTCTTCCAAAGCAGAGCTACAAACTGTTGCTGGGCCAGCTTCCAGCCCTTCATCTGACTGGATCCTTTGCCATCCATCCCACTCAGAAGGTCAGTTTCCCGAGATTCTGCAGGCAAAGAATTGGGAGGCAATGAAAACTTGCATCTATTTCCCTAAGTTGAAGAACTTCTAGGTAGGACACCTTGGTTAAGCATCTGCTTAGAGCCTTGAAACCTTTCCTTTCTTACTTAGCATAGGAGAATTGCATGGCTCACTAGATGTAGCTGCACTACAACCACTCCCAGTGCCCGAGGCAGCATGGTCAATGTTTAAAGGGAGTAGGAGTTGCAGTTCAGGGACATCTAGTAAGGTTGCTAGATTTTCCATCTCTGCAACACATAAATTTTCCCTCCAATGACCTAAAGCAAGAGATACATTTTTGAACTGGAAGCCATGCTGGAGCTAGAAGCAGCAGCTGTCAAAAGAAAATCAAGTGGCTGAAACACCAGCCTGGCACCTGCATTTTTTAATGCTAAACTTGAAGTTATGAATTTCCAGTGATAAGGCTTGGGGAACTGACCCCGACTGTCCTTTCCACAATCAGCTACCAATTTTCCACCGTGTCGTTATTGGTTTATTTTGACAAATTTGATTCACACATAGCCATGCATGTCACTTGATTATTCAGTATCACTTTGTAGTTTGCATCAAATAGCTTAAAACTAAATATATTTCTTCATAGTCAAGCTTAGGGAAGGTAAGTGGTTGCCTTGGCCAAGTGCACCTTATCAGCATGGGACACAAGACAATGAAGGGCAGAGCGGGGCCGTAAATGGTGGAATACAGGGCATCCAGAAGGACAGAGACGGGAGGGAGATAGGCAGGTGCAGGGAGCTGAATTCAAGGCAAGCATGGCAGGGCAGAAGCATGAGGTCCTCGCCTAACGAATGCAACTGGGACCACTGGAACTGCCACTGCTAAGCAATATGGTTACGTCATACTTCACCTCAGCTCTGCTTAGCAACAGGAATTCTGGTCCCAATTACTGGTTAGTAAGGAAGGACTACCAGTAAATTAACTCTGATGTCAATCTGGGGGGAGCCTCTTGTTTCTTGGCTCTCAAGTTATGTACATTGGGTTTTATGTGTATGTGTGAAGTTCACAAAATTACTTCCAAACTTGGGTGTGTTGGGAAGTGATATCTCCTGAATTACAACAACCTACCCATAACCTCAAAGTTCTTATTTGAAATAAGATCAACAAATCATGCATAGCAAATGAACCTAAGCTTAGAGTTGGTCATCAGTTATAAGTACAATATACCGTATTTTTCAGAGTATAAGTATAACCTTCAGGATCGGGCAGCCTATAAATAAAATTAAACTTACAAACTTACTTACTTCCCCCCCCCCCAAAAAAAAAGAGGCTGAAAATCTGGGTGCATCTTATACACTGAATACAGCATTTTTGGCCTCCCGAAACCCTGCTCCCTTCACAAATATGGCCGTGCAAAGGGTTTGGGAGGCCTGCAAAATGCTCCTAAGGGCTGGGGAGGCAAAAACAAGCAAAAACCAGGCCATTTTTTGCCCCAGCCCCTAGGAGCACTCTACAAGCCTCCTAAAGGCTATGCATGCCCTGTTTTTGGGGAAAAAGCGGGTCCGTTTCTGTGAAAAACAGGCAGTTTTTGGGGTCATTTTTGCCTCACAGTCCCCAGGAGCACTTTGCAGGTCTCTCAAACTCTCTGCATGCCCCATTTTTCACAAAAAATGAGGCATGTAGAGGGTTTGGGTAGCCTGCAGAGTGCAAAACCTTTTTTAAAAAAAATTAACCTCTTCAAAATCTTGGTGCATCTTATACTCTGAAAAATATGGTAGTTTTTATCTCATACAAGCAGAGAAACATGGAAGCTTTCCACTCTACCTGGATCTATGTCAGAATCGTTGGGATCAAAAGCATCGTCCTCTGTGAATGGGTGAAGGCAGCTTTGTCGGTCTCCAAAGACTCGGTTTCTTTTAGCGGGCAATGTGCCGTCTGAAAAGAAAAAAAATGTCTATCAAAACTGAAGTCACACTGTCCAAACTATTACACTTGTAAGTTTTCTGCTCCATTTTCCTTTTATTTTTAAGAGACTTGTCCAGCCAGGAATTTCCCAGTTTTATTTCCCAGAAAAGAAATAAAAGTTGCTTCAAGGAAGTGACATGTCATTGTTTCTAGAAGAAAGGGCAATGGGATAGAAGCACAATGATGTGGGTAAAGGCCAATTTCATCAACATTTGCTTAGTGGTTTTATTTTGTGGTTCTTTGATTCTAGGGAAGGGGGAATCAAAGGTGTATCGTGTCATCATGGGACATAGCGCAACTTTTTCCCCATTCGCTAAACCAGGCGTGACCAGCGCGGGATGCATCCGGCCTGGAGGCTGTGAGTTTGACGGCCCTGTTCTAGGGCTTGTGAATCTTCTCAGCAGACTCTCAAATGGAACCAGCTTTTAGCACACGTCAAACTATTTTTGCATGGAAGCTGCAACATTTGAAAGATGCTGACAGATATGTCAATCCAATTCACATTACGAAGCACCTTATTACTGACAGATCTTTCTGGAAATCCCCCTTGCCAGCATAAACCTTTCTTACTCCATAGGTTTCAAACACAATAGCTAGACATCAAGGGCTACCACATGAAAGGAACATTTAATGTATAACAGTACTGATTTTAGGGCAGCATGTTGTATCAATAATATTGTTTATTGTTATAATTATTTTTTTAAGGAGAAGTAGTTTGTTTTTTTCCTTTTATAATGTTGTGCAGCTGCAGTAACATAATTCCAAGATACATTAAAAAAAAGAAATATAGAAAATATAAAAAAATCTATCATCTAAATAAAATTAGGTACTATACATGTGAAAGGTTATTATATGTAAAGAATATACCAGATTACAATCTATTGCTATTAAGGTAAATCCTAAAAACCAACCAAGTAATACAATTGTGGTTTCTCTTCTGAAATTCCATTAACTTTGTTTCTAATGTGGTAATTGAACAGGCTTTACTAATCCACAACTCAGTTGTTATATTATCTAAAGTTTTCCAGTGTTGCACAATTATTGATGTTTTACCTGAAGTCTCTGCATCCACACCGTTATCATCTGCCACCTTGAGAAAAATCTGAAAGACAAAAGTGATGTCTTTAATCTATGCTGCTTTATGCTATGTTGAGGATCTCTCTTCAAGCTTCTACAGCAGGGGTGTCAAACTCAAGGCCTGCGGGCCGGATCCAGCCCATGCGGTGCTTAGATCTGTCCCATGGGGCCACCCTGGAAACAGCAAAGGACCAACCCACGGTGCCTCTGGCAGTGAAAACAGAGTTCAGGAGGGCTAAGTGCAGCCCTCCTGAGCTCTGTTTTCAGCTGTGATGGCCTCCTGCAGCTCTCTGCCAGCGAAAACAGAGCTCGGGAGAGCTGCGGGCTCTGTTTTCGTTGTAGGAGGCAGTCACAGCCAAAAACAGAGCCTGGGAGGACTACAAGCGGGCTTCAGGACATTGACCTGGCTGTGCCCACACTGGCCACACCCACTCTCCCTCCCCCCTCCCAAGGTCAAACACAACCCTGATGTAGCCCTCAATGAAATTGAGTTGGACACCCCTCCTCTACAGAATGCTTCTACATAAGCTGCATGAGTCATTTCAATGTTCCAGTTTGGTGTAATGGTGAAGGTACTGGACTAGCAAACAGCAGACTATGAGTTCTAACCCACCATAGGTATGAAAGCCAGCAGGACAATCGTGGGCTAGTCACTCATTCTCAGCTTAATCCACTTCACAGGGTTGTTGTTTTGGGAGAAATTGGAGGTGGGAGCATTATTTACAGTTGTGTTAGTCAACCTTGGCAATTTTAACACATGTAGACTTCAATTCCCAGAATTCCTCTGTTGAAGTTGAAATCTGTCTATCTTAAAGTTTCCAAGGTTGAGAAATACTAATTAGCACCAACTTGATTTGTACAAAATAAAGTTAGAACATAAATCTAATTATAATATATAATACCAATTGAATATTTATTATTATTTATAATAAATAATACCAGCTAAAGCAAGTAGGTTCCAACTTGATAAAATCAAGAACATGGTATAATGAAATGTCTCCCATATTAACACTTCAACCAGGAATCAAATGCTTTATGTTTAACCATGATTAATGCTCTTTTATTTCCACAAATTCTTTTTTTTTTCTGATGCTACTCTTCTAAATAAAGGCTAACAATTATTGTGGGCTATTTTAGAACATTTTAAAAATATTTTTCGTACCAAAAAGTGTATTAACAACTTTGGTAGGAGTAAAAGCGTAGCAAAACAGAGGTTTTAAGAAATATTTTCCCTGGTCTTTCTTACTATGGGTCTCTCACTGAGTTGGTATTCTCTCCCCTTAGAGTTAGCAGTCCAACTCTATCCTGCTTCTACGCCTCCACTACAATTACAATCCTAACAGGTTTACACACTTTAAAGCAGCCTTTGCACTCTGATGAAATAAATGGGACAAGGCTACATAAACACTTGTGCAGCTAAAGCTGACTTAACCTGTTTCACTCATGAACGGAGAAGGGGTTGGAGGCCATGTCATGGTGACATATCAGGGAAAGGGGGATGCAAGGGAAGGTTTCTGATGTGGTTAAGCACAAGTAAGAAAAGATCTCATGGAAGAGAATTCAAGCTCTATGGGAGGAAGAGAGAAAATAATGTTTGAAAAAAAGCTGAGCTATCCCCAAGTGGGAGGCTACATATTTCTTAGAAAAAGGCTTCCTGATTTAATCCATGACATTTCCAGATAAGGTTAAGGTTAGGGTGACCCAGTTTTTTTTTCAAAGATCTCTGCAGAGATGCTAGGGCAGGGCAGTTCTTTTCCCAAAGAAAGCTGGGAGGATAGATGAGTTTTTGGCCAACCTCACAGATGGCAGTTCTGATTAGGCCCGTACCGCCATGCATGGATGCCCTGATAAGTGTAAGTAAAATCCACAGGCAGAACTCTAGAGAACTGCTCTTAGCATAGCTCACAGTAACATCTGTGGAGATAAAGTCCTTATCCTCACGTACAGCTCACCAGAGACATATGAATATTCTCTGACCGCAGTTCATAGCATTGGAGAATTAGATCCATGAATAGCACAAAATTCTTAAGTTTGTATTTATTACTACTACTATTTATTTCTATTACTATTCCAACCCTTAGAAAAGCCAAAACACAGTTTTGCAACACTGTGATTCATTTTATGAGAAGGGGTGTTGGTTGGTAATTTTTGGAGGCATACCTCTCTACCAAGTGCAAAACGGCTATTGGACCAGGGTTGTCTCTTCCCAATTACATTGATCCACCCCACCTGGTTAAGCAGGAAAAGACATACTGCTTGCTGCATATCCCATTGGTCAAATAATTTTGACTGGCGGGATCCAGGAGGAAGGCTTTCTTGCTTTGTTTTTGCCCTTTGGAACAACTGACCTTCAGAGTTGAGCCAAACCTCTGTTGGCTCTCTCAAAAAGACTTGGCTTTGCTAATTAGCATGGGGTGTGTTACAACCTTGGGGGTGGCTGGTGGCTCGAGGGCACTGCTTCTGCCTTAACTTTTTTAGCTGTCTGAATTTTTTAATTCTGGTTTTCACTTTTAATTGGTAAATTTTAACTTTCTTCTTAACTTGCTTTTTCTATCTTATCTGAGCTGTTTCTCATATAGATGTATTGATGATGTTCTAAACCAGTAATGGCTAAACTTTTTGTTGTTGCGCACCCACAATACAATATGTCCCCCCCATTCTCGCCTCCCCCATGCATGCACGTGCAACCCCCCACATGTACCCACCTCATGTGCCCCAACCCCCACGCATGCATGAGTGCATCCTCTGCATGCACCCCATCCCCATGCATGTACGTGTGCATCCCCCACATGTGTCCCAACCCCCATGCATGTGCGGCAGAGACCCAAAGACCAGCTGACCAGCAAGAGGTGCGCGCGCATGCAGAGTGGAGCTGGGCTGGGGCGACAGCTGGTGTGCCCACAGAGAGGGTTCTGTGTGCCATCTGTGGCACGCATGCCATAGGTTCGCCATCACAGTTCTAAACCATCTAGAGTCCCTTGGGTGAGGTTGGCAGTGTAGGAATTTAATAATAAAAACAAGCAATTAATAAATAATAATAATAATCAGCCACAATTCGCTGGGAGCAAACCAAGCTAGAGACGATTTCAGAATGGCAGCTGTCATCTGCATGATTCACATACCTCTTCCAAGGTAGTCTCAGAAATGCCATAGCTGGAAATACCCAGGTCAGAGAGGCGGTCATCAATTTCATGAAACAGCTCCACAAAAGCTCCTTCTCGGGCAGCTTCATAGGGCAAAACATAACTTAACTCGTGGCCAATGTCCTCCACCAGCTTTGCTTCTGGGACGTGCTTCATAATCAGATTAGAAATTGCAGATACATCTAGAAGAATGCAAGGAGTCATCAGATTCTGCGGTTGCCGCTGTTGCTTTGTGCTGTACCAACTAAATATAATCTTTTCGTATCAGATATTGCTAATGATCGAAGTGCTTATCTCAGGGAATTGAAGCAATATAAGATAACGACTTCTTATTCATTGCACAATAAGGGAATTCACAATAGAAAATTAGACACAGCCTTTGATTTCCATGAATAGAAAGGCTTCATTTATCTATGGAAAAATTCTCAAGTAACAGAGAAAGTTCCTTTGGGCCATGAGAATCGGGGGTGCTACCTATGCTCTTTCCACTTCTATTTTAAGGCCCTCTTTAAAAGAGGAGGTGTTATGGGACGTAGGAGGATAGAAAAATTCCACCACCACATTAACAAGCAACAAAAGGCAACTGCCAGAAGCAAAGCCTAAATTTTTAACCCACCTTGTTTAGACTAATAATCTATCAATGCTGCAGACTTGGACTTTTTTTAAAATGCCAAGTAAATCAACATCAATATCAATATCCCACTGGGCATTAAGAACTCCCCATCTGGCTAAACAAAGTGCAGAAGTTCGGTACGCAAGAAACAACCTTACCTATTGTTGGGGTGTCACTTTCATGATCACTCCCAAGGCCTGCATCAGAACTACTCTGCGAAACACTGTCATCCTAGTTACAGAAGGAAAAGTAATTGAAAGATCTTTTAGCCCAAATAGATCAAGAGGAAGAACATTTTAAGAACACTGCAACTCTGACACAAGAGCAATCAAGACAGGAGTTGAAATCAAATCAATCAGAAATCAGAATATTGCTATGTCTTTCAGCCAGGGGTGTCAAACTCAAGGCCCACGGGCCACATCTGGCCCACAGGGTGCTTAGATCTGGCCGGTGGAACCGCCCTGGAAACAGTGAAGGACAGACTCGAAGTGCCTCTGACAGTGAAAATGGGGTTCGGGAGGGCCACATACACGGCCCTCCCAAGCTCCATTTTCATTGGCAGAACACTTAGGCCACCACAGGTGTCCCTGATATGAGTGACGTCAAGCTGGCCACATCCAGGCTGGCCATGCCCCCCTGTGCCTCCGAGGTCAAACACAACCCTGATGTGGCCTCAATGGAATCGAGTTTTGACACCCCTGCTTTAGACTGTCCCATTGTGCTCCTGGATATTTTGTATGATTATAGACCCCAAGAAAGAAGTTATCATACTTCACAAGCCCCATCTATTTAGATTGTTTTAGACCGTACTGGAAACAGCTCCTACCTTTTTCAAGTAAGATATTGTGCTGCTGCTGTTTCTACAGGAGCTGAGTGAGGAATCCACATCCTTCTTGACTAAGGTCAGGTAGTATCCTGTGCCCAACTGGTTCTTCAGGAATAATGAAGAGCCAACACAACAAAGTTTGCCATTAGATATGATGGCAATTCGGTCCCCAAGGATATCTGCCTCATCCATGTGGTGGGTGGAGAGAATGATAGTGCGACCTACAATTCAAAAGAAACATGCACATATTAGGGAAGCTTAGTGATCATGTGATTTTTGTTTTCCTTACAGCTCGGAGACAGCAAATGAACACCAGGAAAATAGGAACAAATTAACTTTCCCACACAACCACGGTGGTCCCATGTTTACCCAAAGAGCTTTGCAGATGTTCTTACAAAAGCCATAGCAAGAAGATATAGAAGATCAAGATCATTCTAGCTGGCGGAAATCTGATGCCAACTTTATTACAGCCCATTAATTAAAGCATAGAAATGTTGTCAGTAGCATCAAGTTCTTTCTCCTATGCACAATTTTACAAATAACTGAAGGTTCAACTGGTGGAACACAGTCTATTCAAACACCATCTCATGAGGAACATCCATAACTCAATGGAAGCGAACACATGTAGCATTGCAGAAAGTCCCACTTATCAGAAAAGTAATAGTGATCGATTGCTCTCACCAAAATGTTAGCAAGACTAAAAAGGTTTCATCTGGAAGATCTTGGAGAGCCAGCTTCAGCTTAGTTTAAGCCAGGGGTGTCAAACTCAAGGCCCACGGGCTGAATCCAGCCTGCAGGGTGCTTATATCTGGCTCAGGGCCACCCTGGAAACAGCGAAGGACTGGCCCGCGGTGCCTCTGCCAGCAAAAATGGAGCACAGGAGGGCTGCATGTGGCCCTTCCAGGCTCCAATTTTGGCCTTGACAGCCTCCTGCCGATCTCTGCCAGTGAAAATGGAGCTTGGGGGGGGGCATACATGGCTCCCCCAAGCTCCATTTTCACTGGCAGAGGGCAGCAGGAGGCTGTCAAGGCCAAAATTGGAGCCTGGAAGGGCCACATGCAGCCCTCCTGAGCTCCATTTTTGCTGGCAGAGGCAC